TCCAAATCGACTCAGCTTTGTACCACACTGCAAGCTCGCACTGATTTAAATGAAAGGAGGGGGGAGGGGGCGGTGTTCAGTAGAAGCGAGTGGTGCATGAGGCGGGGAAACGTGACCAGAGAGAAAAGAGTTAACGTGTGGAATTGCTGACCCACTGACCAAGCTCTGCCTCACCACCACCGCAGGCGGCATCGTCAACACAGAAGCCTCCGTGAGAGCGGGGTAGCGGCAGGAGGAGGGCCCGGATATCTCACGCGTCGCACGCGGCTCTGCAAGGGAAGCCACGTGAGGAGGGCTTTTTGACAGGGCTTTCACCGGGAAGATGTGAAGCGTGCGCTCCAGTCAGGAGCCAGAGCTTCTACAGTCCGCCAGAGGCTTATAATTAAAGAGCCAAATTAAATAGAGCAGCATGTTATGCGGCAGGGTGGTCTGACCGCGCACCAGCGGCAGCAGCACAGCCGGGCGGTGCAACTAAGTTTAAAACAGTGGGGCGAAAACTGTGTGTCAGTGTGTGACCAGACCAAAGTATGGGGAGAAAATTCGCGTGAAGATAGAAACACGTTTAATTCAAAACCCATCTGTTTGTGATTAGTCAGGCCCTGGCATGTTAAATGTAATTGTTTGCTTTTATTTGGCTGAGTCTTCATTTATAACCAATCAGAGGACTGGTTCACTTGTAACTCAGGTCAGCTGCACCACTCAGCATCTTCCATTCTGAGTGGTGCAGCGATACAGGCTGCTGACAAGAAATTGGCCTATATTGTGATAGGGCTACTCATACTTTTGAGGACACAGGTGTCTTACTTTGGGATACACATTTTTTGAAACGTCTTCTATCCTATTTATATGGCCTATTTTCCCCCCATACTTCAAAAACAATGGGGTTGGATTACTATCTAGCAAATGTTTAAACACTGAGGACATAATGTTGACAAAAACGGGGCTTTATGTCTGAATGTTTGTGCCAGTTAGTCAGCCTTAGCACCAACGCACTCTTTTACAGCCAATGGCGAAAAATGGTTTGAATACTTTAATGATGCTGAAAATATTGCAGAAGATCTCCAGCAGGGGCGTGCCAGAGGACGATTTAGAGAGGAAACTAAAGTCCGTGAAGTTAAGCAGTGAAGGGCATAGAACTTCTTCTTTTTCTCCAATTTTGCTAACACCACCTGGTTATCATTTGACGGCTAAATGCGAGCAAACATTATAGCTATGTACTATTATAGTGCTACAGAGCTGTCATTGCAGGTGTCATAAAACGTTTTCTGACTTCCACACCCTGGTCCAACTGCCTTTTTAAAAAAATGATATGCAGTACAAGCTGATGTGAATACTAATGCTGATAGATACTTTCCAATGCGTTCCCAACCATTTGTATGTTATTATATGCTCCAAATATTATTTTTTACTGATTTATATTTCCCCAATAATTGGCCCTGTGTAACCTGTTCCAGCTGACTGTAGCCTACTCCCCTACATTATGTTTACTAGTATTACATACCAAGCCTGCTAAGCTATATATCTTGTATTTGGGTCTATTATTTGAGTTATAAGATCTTTTATGTATGAATAAATGATTGCATTAACCTTTGGGTGAATGCCTCCTTCACATGCAACAACTCACTCACTCAGTCTGTAACTCATTCTTCAACAGCCTTGGCAATTGGAGGCATGTGGTTATAATAATGTTTATAGCTTTGTTTAGATGACTGAACTCATAAATCGAATTATGTTTGGTCCCAATAACATTATTGAAATATTAAAGGTTAAGCCAATGTGGTCACCATTTGAAGTAATAAGGGCTACAAAATGAGGATAAAAGTGGGATGTCATTAAAGACGTTTTATTTTATTAATTGAGCATAAATAAATAAATAAACAGTTAAATAAAGATATAAAAACTTTTGGAAAAACCTTCTGCTTCACTGCTTCTGCCTCTTGGACAGACAAACAACACAACCCAGCACCCCAATCTTTGTTTTTATCGGCTGAGTAATACTACAGCTAATATATGATTATTCATCTATTTACTCTGGCCCACTTTATCAGTGAAATCTCAAAGTCATAACACAGTTTCCAGATCTATTGCACAGGGTGCGCCCATCACCTGTGCCAGAACGTGACCGTGGCTGTTGTAAATGATTACAACAGTCAATTAGGAGAGGGGAGCAGAGAGCATGTGCACCCTTGACTGATCTCGAGAAAACGCTGCTTAATACCACTTAACGGATAAAGGTCCTTCCATTATCAGCCTTTATATTGTAGGCACTCCAGCAATGGCTTTGATAAAGGAAACCAGGCACGCCCCCTACGCCAAACAGTGTTTTTCTGCATGATATGACAAGGCTGCAGTTTAAATTCTGGCATGACAGATTATGATTACAGTGCCGGCCAACATACTGTAACTCCACGTGAGTTTGTTTTCGTGGGGAGAAACAGGAAGTGGCCAACCTCCCTTCAGTCCCGAGCGGCTCACCTTCCCAGGCGTTGTTGCGCTCGGACATTTGAACGCAGCACAGCAACGTCCTGGTAGCTTTGCATGAAGTTTTACTTGACCTTTAAATTCACAGTCTTAATTAAAACCACTCAGCTCAGAAATGAGTAAAATACAAAACCCTCAAAATGATAGTTTACCCACTTGTTGCTGCATGTAATTATAAAAAATCGCCACAAGTAAAAATGAATGAATGAATAAATAAATCAGTGGTTTGCACAATTATTAAATCAGTGGGATGTCGCATTTCTGTGATGTATTCATTTAAGCTCTGCTTCATTTCAATCAAAATGAGCTGTTTTACACTTAATAACACATTATGGTCAGAATTGCTATCGTTTATTGATCGCAACATGAATGAAACATCGATCAGTCATTCAGTTCTAACTTTGGTCATAATCACCATCGCTAGACATTTGCAGCACGCCAAACATAAAATAGAATCTTACCACCGCCGGGGCTGTTATCCATGTCTCTCTTGTGGATGATTAAATCTCTGGATAAACTTGATAGCAGACCTCCGTGAATGTCACGTCGCTAGACTGGAGCAAAAGTCTTTTAAAGGCAGGCGAGAAAGTCAAAAAAAGAGTTTTGCGCAAAACACCTGCTCCATAGAGCGCAAAAATAGGAAGCACTGATTGGAAAGAGTCCAGTGCTGGTGAAGTTGTTGCTTTTTCTTCTTCTGTAATCTGTAGGTAATTCAGTAGATGGCACCTCTTTTCTGTTAGATCTGAATTAGTCACACTGGTCTCCACCAATGACACCTGGATACCTTCTGCTCTCTGAGTACTGCACCTCTAGCTCTAGCGCGCGTGATGTTGCACGAGCGAAGATTAAACTATTCTCACGAATTCCAGGAAAGTGGAGTCAGCATATCCTTGAACACACTGTCGGACTTGACACAAGCTGCACACCCACTGATACAAACACCCACATCAATCACGTTGCAGGTGAGTAGGAAATGTGACCGCCTTTTCCGTTCTCCCCAACTTGTGTTGTGGCTGTTTGTGTAGGATTTGGCTCACTCTTTGTATGTAGCGGAGTCCCGTCTCTCCCTCTCTCTCCTTCACGCTCTTGTGCGTTTTCATTGGCGGGGATCCGGGGCTGAGGGGAGTTTGATGCGCTTATTCGAGTGTGGTGTGTGTTCAGTAAAGCCACGCTACATGTGCGCGGTGCATGTGCCGGAGAGAGCGCTGCCCTACTGATACACATTTTATGCAAAATACAGAGCGTGCGGTGAGGAGGGATGGAGAGATTGGAGGATGGAGCACATGGACAAGAGGCGTGGCTCACCGTGACTGCTCTGACAAGCAGCGCCGCAAACGGATGGTAAACACTGAGACATGCCAAACATCATGCAAATGCCAAGTCCAAAGCGCATGTGCCAGGGGAAAATGTAGACGCGCGAGTGGACTTATGAACAACATGCTCATTGAGGAGACCACGTGCAAACACAAAGCATTTGTCAAAATTGGAATTCCAGCAAAATGTGGATCCTGTGCGCTTGTGATAGGCTATATTCGCGTTTTTTTTGCACGTGGCTTGCGTGTGAGGGTGAATTATTGCATCAATACCTTATTATTGTTATTATTAATAGTTAAAATAAGTTTCTAAATCGGTTGGGGACAACAAATTGTCGATAGTGCAGTCTTTGAACATTAGCTTTGAACAAGCAGGCGCATATGGAGGTAACTTGTGGAAAGCGCCCCTCGGTGGCAATTCAAAGCATCAACGTTTAACAAGTGTTTCAGATCACAAGCACAAATGCACGTGACTCCCGGTGATTCCACTGTGTAGAAAACCAGCCGTTCTACTTTAAAAAATGCTGCAAACACGTTTTTATTATTTGCTTAAATATCTAAAGTAACCCTAGACATAGGCTAATTTTAATAAAAACAAACAAGCCATCAAGTCAAACAAACATTTACTTTATTTCTAATTTATTCTTAATACTACTACTACTACTACTAATAATAATAATAATAAACGGATTTATCATGGATTTTATTATAGGAAGAAGTGTCTTGCTTTAACATGTAATGAAAATTATTTGACTATTTTGCTAACCTAAAAAAAACCCTTTAGTCTTTCTCAGCAGCCAATCTACTGAGTAAATTGTTTTAATGGTCCTATTAGACTGAATGACTCTATTAGCCCAATAAGGAGAATGTTAACGTCGGAAAACTGTATTAAATAGCCTATTATGTTTATTATAACATTGCACGAATGTAATAGTAGTAGTGTAGTAGTAAGCTAATATCAAGTTTGCATTCCTTCAAATGAGATATCATTTTAGGCATCGAGGAAAGGTTGAGTATTTATTAGCTTCTGTAAGTTCACATTGAAGTGTTCTTTATTTTATTTTGACACGTCTACTTTTTTGTTGCTCACCTTTGTTGTGGTTTCCATCGTACTGAGCGGAAGTGTCGCTGCACTCCTCCCCTCGCACACTAGGTGGCGTAGTAGTGTCATAAATCTGTCCGCACGGTGGTTCCCATCGACGCCCCTGAAGCTGCTGCCGCGACAGTGACCGACTGGCAAAGGATCGTGATCTGACAAATGACTGAAAGATCCCTGAAGCAGAGCAAACACCAAAGAGGACACGTTTAACGACTGTAACTGACTTTGCTTTGTCTCCTTCATAGAAAACCTCGGTCTCCTTAGTTTCTGTGGAATAAATAAGCTCGCGTTGGAAGCCGAAGCATAAACTTCTCAAGGCCAAGAAGAAGAAGAAGAAGAAGAAGGTAAGACTGTGTACTTTACATAAATCATCTACCGCCGTGATTAATTGCATGTGTCTAAGAGTAAACGGCGCTCAAACTGCGCCAACCCGGGCGTGTGTTTACTGTATGTATGCGGAGACTCACGCACTCGTCATTAGGACACGTTACGGCAGGGCCCGGGATAATTACAGGCTGCTAAAAGTGTTCGGGGACTGAGCGAGAGAGAGAAGTCTGCCAACACACACACCTGCAGAGAGCCCTGCTCTGCCCGGGGCTTCAAACACAGTCTTCATCACTTTTCAGTCTTTCTGCCTGTGCGTACCTCGCCTGTCACCCGGCTCCCCACCGCCCACTCCCTCCCTGCCTCACACACACACACACGGGCGCGCACACACACATCTTGTTGCGTGTTATGTGAATGACGCCGGGTGTGCGTTAGATGAGAAGTTTATTCCAGAATGAACCACCAAAGTCTTAGATTGACGTCCAGGATGGTTGATTGAGCTCAGAAATGTTCCAGTAGCAGAATTAGCCTCATGATTAGTTTTGTTCTGTTTCCCCCTTCTGTACAGAAACACACAAAACTAAACCTTTGTCTGACTTCAGCATACTAAACATATGCCTAAGTGCTCAAGAAAAGGAGAACTTGTACTTTTTTTGTTCGCTCTCCCTGTGCAGTATTTAGTGCCCACGTTTCTCACAAGGGCAGTTTTATATGCAGGGAAGGAGGCATGGAAAAGAAGACCTTTCCTTTTGAGCTCACAGATTTGCAGTAATTACAGAATCACTTCCATATGTGGCTCTCTGGCTGCCTTCTGGCTGCCCCCACCACCCTTCTCTTCCCCACTGCTCTCTCTTTCCCTCTCCCCTCTTTCATTTGCATTCTCCCCAATCGCTCTTTTTCCCCCCTGCTTTTATTATTTTTTTTTATTTTTGGCTTTTCTTCGCACACTCGGAGCATTTTCTTTTTTCTCCCCGAAAAACCACAGCTTAAACAAAGTTTATGATAATCAGAACATCCTGGCATTTTTGGCAAACAGTTGTGCATTTTGGTGATTCAATTAGACGATGCTTGCCAGAATAAAAAGAGCTTGTGTTCTTTAGTATGAGAAGAGAAGGGAGGGGGGGAGAGAAAAAAAAAAGAAGAGACATGGACCAGAGAGGGGAAATGTTGAAAAATACGGAAATATGAAAAAGAAAAGGAGCTCAGTGAAGAATTTGAGAGGCAGGAGTGTGAAGGAGGGAGAGGTGGAACAGAAAATGAGGCAGGGAGAGGGAGGGCTGGAGTAATGCTTTTTGACAGAGGTGGGTTCAAGATGGGTTCATGGTGACATCATGGCTGATTTTGTATTTTTTATTTTTTCGAGGAAAGTATAGACAGGAGAAGCGTTCACCTTTCATTGGACACACATGTTGGGGATCAGGCAGAGCGCTCATGTGCTGGCACACACGCTGGTAGCTGTGTCGACAAACTCTGGATGCACCCGAAGTTCTGCGCAAAAAGTGCCGACACACACACACTTTTACCCCCCCCCCCCCTCTTATTTCTTCTGTAGTAGTAAAACAGTTTTTTGGCTCCCTCTTGTCTCAAAGCTTTTTGTTCATTTGTTTGTGTTAGAGGAGTTCATACTGGTATATGCCCTCCGGTCCCTCGCACATACATTTCTCCTTTGCTCATGAGTAACTCATTTTCCTGTGAGTAGTATTCCTCCGTGTATGTTTTTACTTCAAGGCTGCTGGACTCTAAATGAGCGCACTTTGCCAGGTGGGATGAATGAGCTCCTTCATTTCACAGGATGTGTGTATAAGACTCTAACCGAGAACGAGCGGGCGTGCGTACGTCTGCGTGTGCATAAATGTGTTTGTGCAAATGAGCCGCCGTGTGCCGTTGCCCCTGCGTCCCTCGCCCGTCTCAGCGCGGCACCAAACTTCTCATGACATCAATCTGAATGTGGGGAAATAGTGATCTCATTATAGGCATCTTGTTACTGATTGAAACCCGCCGCCACTGACACCGGCTCCCTGCCCCCCTTCTCACCTCCCCACCGCCAATGCTCCCCTCAACCTACCCCACTCCACCACATCCATCTGTGTCTCAAACCGGCCCTCCATTTTTCTTTTTATTCCACACCTCTTTCTCTCACATTCCCTGTACTACTACCCCCCCATATCTCACTTTAACCCCTCCAACCTCACTTCCTCCCTCTCTTGCACCCTGCATCATCCCCCCTTTCCTCTTTCCTTTCTGCCCTTACTCCTTCCCTCTGCCGGCGAGCCCCAGGCCTCTACTCCTCTGCTCCGCAAATGCAAATACGTGGAATCTAAAGTGGAAACACACGCCCGAGTATGATGTTTCCATGAATATTTCATATCTTCATAAACACACCCGGAGAAACTGCAAAGCTATGCGCTCAACAATGCCCGTGTTTGCCGGATGACTTCCTGTGAGGAATTGCCTCTCTGCGTTTGACTTCTTGTGAGAGCACACTGTGTTAGGATTGATGTCAGGGGCAGTGTGTTATGATGTCACGGGCTGAAGTTAATGATACGAGAATGGCAAGGGCCATAGGCCATGTTTCCAGTGGTGCCCGGAGAGAGAGATAGCACCCTGATCTGTCTTCATTATCCCCCCACTCTGCAGCCTCCCAGACACAATGATCATAAATCTCAGCCTGGAGCACACTTCACTGACACTGAAACACAAACACTAGTAACCTCTGACCTTCTCACTGCTACTGCCTACACACACTCATCCATGCACGCAGACACGGGTGCCCACACACTTACTGCAACTGCACGACATGCGTGCGTGGCGAGGCTGTGCACGCACGGTGCTCAAATGCCCCCCCCCTTCAAGCTCACTGTCATAATTTAATAAGGGCCACAGCATGCTCCGTGCACCGCCACACACAATACTCTTCATGCACTTGACTACACATTCTGACACAGATGCACGGTCTAAGTCGGGCTGATGACTGCACACATACTTGAAAAGCTCATATTAGAATTGGTGATTTTTTTTAAGCATCCTATTTCTATATTTACTTTCTTGTTTTATATTACACAACTGCTGATGTAGTAGTGCTTCATAAACAGTCAAGGGATTTCTATCAGCCTTAGCAGCCTCATAAGCAGCACATAAATCAAATATAAACAAGATAAAGATCAGCCAAAGTTTTTTTTTTTGCAGTGTGGCTTAGATCTGTGCTTCCTGAACATAAGGTTTCTGCAAAAAGGCAACAGTGCCTCTCGCCACTTATCCATTCATTCACCCTGATGTTGTACTGGCATCAGAAATGTCTGGAGGAGCAGTTTGGTGGGCTACTGTGGACCACATGTGTTCGCAAAGATCGAAAGCTCACAGGAATAACGAGAGTAAAGCCGAAAGGGTTTTTTTTCTCATTAGGATGGCTTGACTTTATCCCGGAGACATATTGGGGTCAACGTGTTGGAGGATAAGATCTATCTCCGCATCAGGCCAGTTGCTGAGGTTTACAAACAGAATAGGCGCACGGCCGTGGATGTGCAGGTAGCTTTGGAGACAAACAGAAAAATCCACATGCTGCAATGTTTGGTAGTTCCAGTTCAGACCACGAGATTTATGAGCTTTATGAGATTCATGAAGTTCCCCAATGAAGAACAATAAAGGATATTTTTATCTTATTTAGGAGATTGTGCCGTGATGCATGGCCAACAGGCCTGAAAGTCATGACTTTAGATGAAGTTCCAGAGTAAATATTACACGTATAGGTTCTGATTTAATTTTGTTTTAGTGTTGTACTTGCTTTGTTTAGACTAGGTGTTCCCTATCTGTTGTTTGAATGAGTAGGCATGTATTACACTGACCGTATGTGGCTTGTTCTTCTTCCTTTTTTTCCTCTATTTTTTGGGTGTGTGTCTGTGTGTGTGTGTGTGTGTGGGGGGGTAATCTGAGAACCCATAGTCGATATGAAGAGGTGCCTGTTTAGGTGCCAGTTGAGGTGTGCCTTCCCCTCCCAGTTTTGAGGTTTGAGGTGCTCCTCATAACCAAAACAACTTGAGAAACATGACATTCAGAAAAAAACAGGGCACACGCCCAGAACCACAAACACATAAACACAGATCTGAAACATATGATCTCATATGGAGAGAGGGGCACGTTCAGGGGCACACCCAGCTCTGCTGCTGTCGCTGCACAGCCCTGCCATCTCACTCGTGACTTCCTTGCAGCTTGTGTGCCAATGCTAGTTTCGATTCAGGAACCAAAGCGATATATTTAGAGAGATGGCTCTGCTTTTTTAAAAACACATTTTCCGCCTTAAAAGACAAAAAACTATTCCTTATAAAGTTTGTCAGTAATTAGGCAAATGTCATGTATCCCCCACCCCCAAAAAAAATCATGCTGGTCAAGGCCCAGTTCTGGTTTTTATTTAATCCCAGTGCCAAATGTTATTGTATCAATTATTTGGTGTCCAGTACTGGCTTAATGGGTTTCAAAGGGCTCCTCATGCTTGCTGTTTTAATGTTAAGTGCTGTTGTTGTAGTAGCATTAGTAATAGCAATAATAGTAGTAAGTTACTGTCTCAACTGTGGGAAGATTGGCACAGAAACCTTGTAAGCAGTAAAACGCAGGCCAATGCAAATATGAGTCACCTTCAGCGTGGGCCTGTGCCGAGCAGACAGTCCATTAAGATTGTTCCATAAATTGATCACACCAGGGATAAATTACACAGTGAAACATCACAGAAATTCTTAGAGGGATAAACAGATTGGCTCGCTATTAAAACAGTGTCTGTGTCAAATCAAAACAATATAAAGCGGATGATCTGCGTTCTTCGGGATACTAAAACATCCTCTGCTAATAAACCTACTTAACTTATTGATGAAACACAAATGATCTAAGATCACGACATGCGGTTCAGCATGCACAAACAATTTGTAGGTAAACTGACTCTTCAGCCAAGAAGTTCCGAGGTGGGGGGAGAAAATAATTCACCCGAGAGACAAAGAAGGGAGAGAGAGAGAATTAAAAACAGAAACTT